ACGGTTGATGAAGTTCTGGAAATCTTGTGCAGTCGGCTTGTCAGAACAGGCGGTAGGCAGAAAAGGTCCGAAATGTCAGAGCAAGTTCAGGGGTCCGAATGTTCTCGCAAAGTTCTCAAATGTGAAAATGACCGAAGTCAGCACTTCCTTATATAGGCAAAGTGAGAAGGCGAAGGGTCGCTTCCAAATTCAAAATTTGGGCGGGAAAATCTCTCGGCCATTTGCAAGGTGACACCTGTAGCAGGCCGTCCCCTGTCACCGTGCGGCACCTGTCACAGGTGACACGTGACCAGTCACGTGCCACCTGTGAGGGGCAAATGATTAGGGGATTTTTATCCACCAATCACCGTTTGACAAGTGGACCAACCAGGTTCCGCCACGTGTCCTTCACGTAGGCCAATAGGAGCCTGCCACGTGTCAATCACAGATACGTCCTCTACGGACCAATTGAGACACACCACGTGTCCACCCATGCCAAATGGGAAAACCGGCCAACAAGGCCCAATCCTGTTTAGAGGCCCGGTCAGCCCTAGGTTTACCCTAAACCTAGAGAGTGGCACGCTTCTCAAGACTATAAATACTTAATTAATCCTCATTAAGAGAGGACAAAACAGAAACGTTACGGAACACACTAATAACCGGCTGATCTCGCTAACAAAGCAGATTACCAATTAAACACTCTCACCTAGAGAGACCTTATTACTTTAATTTCCGCATTAATTACTCCTTAATCAGGTACTAACTTGACCGTTGGAGGCGGAGCTCCCAGGAGTCTCCGTTATTTTGCAGGTACAGGCGTCCGGTTCCAGTCTCGGAATTGTAACTCTCCCGCAGGACATCAGAAAACCCCGAAACACTTCCCCTCACCAAGGAAGTGGAAGCCTATCTGGCATGTTCATCCGGATGGATCAAAGAAAACATACTCTGATAACCATGAGTATGCCTCATAAGTGCCAGAATAAAATTATCAAGTGGATTGTTTTGTGTAAGTGAGCTGGTCCACCCCATAATTTGCAAGGAAACATAACTAGGTGATAAAAATGTTAGGCGGCAACCCACTAACATTATATCATCAAGCTTCACTATTATTATATTAGCTCTTCCTTGGATATTCTCAAGCATAAAATAAATATATTCAGCAGCTCAACACAAGCCAACCTTTGGTGATAGCAGCCGACATTATTCTTACCTACGCATGCCATGACACTTAAAGCAGCCAGCCACGTTAAAACAAGCGGAATGCTAATCAAATGGCATCATGTGGCCGAGTAAGATTGAAAAAGAGTAGCGCATGGTTCGTAGTAAGGTACTCGGCCATAAGCAGGCAGCACCTGTCCAGGCGGCAGCCAGCCTGGTACCAGCCGCGAAGCAGCCTGGCAGCTCTAAACCACATTCGGCTATGTGTACATAAAGTACATAGCGTGTAATTGCCACTAGCAGGCATGAGCATTTCCTTCGACGCGACACCTTCATAATTATAAAAACAGTCGGTATAGTACTTTGGTTAAGCTTGGCCATGTTAGGATGAGCTAAACAGAGCTAACCTTTGAACAGCCGGTATCTCATGGCAAAAACCAGTCAGCCTTATCACCAATGGTATCACTTGCCTAGCTTACCAACTCAATTGCTAAAGAGCAGCCGGTATCTAGACTTGGTTCCTCAAAACGCCAGCTCTATCCCAGCCACCAAACAGCCGGTGCTTGTCGAGGGTAGCCTCGAGAACCGACAATATGAATTTGAAGCATGAATGCCGAGTATAATTATACAACCGGCCACCTTCGTTGATAAGAATAGGCGGAATTCGCAGCTAACACATCAAGCGTGTGTGGCTTGTTTAAGGAAGCTAGCACTAAGCGGCAGTACTCTTTCAAGTCACCTAGAATCCGACATGATTGGTTCGGCTTTACCATCCATTAGCCTTGACATCCTCAACTTGTTGACACAAAGCGGCACCATGCGCTAAGTGGCATACCGAATGTATGGTTTGGTATAGGGGCTTGGTTTAGGCTACCATCATCATTATTATGATTAAAAAAAAATAAAAATAAAAATAAAAATAAAAGGGGGAAAGCCGCCTAAAAGCATGGTTAATTGTCATTCTCATGCATGAGAATAAGACAAAAGTATAAGATCCCCTCAAAAAACTATTGCCTAAGGTTAGTAAAACCGGCTCTTTAGGCGCCACCTTACTAAAGACCGTCCTCCACTTATTTGTGTGACAGTCTATCAAGCAAGAGAGGCGACATGAATAGTAGTCGACCCCCTATACGACGAAGTCTCGTAGCTATGAAAGCAGTCGACCCTCATTAATTTCACTAAGGGGCTAAAGACCGGCGGAAAATGTGTGGGCCGAACAGTAAGGTCGCAAACCACATTAAAACAAGTTTAGCACGACCACCTGTCCCCATTCGAAGAAAGTAGAGTCACCAATCCTCCATGGAAGGGAGCTAAGTCATATATCTACTCTAACACTTGAAATTATTTCAATACTTGATACTGATCCAGAGGGGCATGCCGATGTACCTCTACAGTCGGCTACTCTCCGTTGAGTATTTCACTCTATCACTAGAGGGGCATGTCGTCTAGACATACAGTTGGCTACTCTCCATAGAAGAGGGCCGACTGGTTCCAAAACAGACAGCCACCCCCTATACTTAGCTAAAAAATGATCAGGGCCTGGCCGACCCTGTGCCTAAACAGGCGGCTACCTTCCTCTTACTTAGCACCTACGTTCACTAAGAACTAACCAAGGCCACAAGCCGAATGATCAGTCCAGGCGCCAAGCCAACTGATCCAATCTTTAAACTAATACGACCTGTCCCAACATCATAGCAGGCGTCCGGCGGCATCCCTCCGGATGAAATTCGTCGCATAGAGCAGCTCCCTTTTGGGTGGAACACTACTCTATAAACTAATTACACGGCACCTATGCGACTGTCCCCAAGGGCAACCACATAGCCGTTTTTGAGACAAGGATAACTCTATCCCTAACCAAACCAGTGGTAGCAGTTGACATTTGAGTCGGATGACCGCCTGTATTACTTAAGATAAATGCAGGGGGTACCTCTTGAGTTAATAGCCAACAAACATTGGCGAATCAAGGGGTCCAGCCGGCCTCCGCCGCCTGGTACCTCTGCTACTTAAGCAGGAGTGACGGCGACTGAGTAACACCAACGTTAACTCATAGTCACTCCCTCAAACTTGGTATGGAACCTAAAAGGTTTGAGCAGACCGCCTATTTTTTGGCAAACAGGGGCACTCAAACCACTATTCCTACTAGGTTACCACTCCTTGGGTTAATAGCCAACAAACATTGGCGAATCTAGGGGATCAGCCGGCCTCCGCCGCCTGGTACCTCTACTACTCAAGCTAGAGTGTGACGGAGACTGAGTAACTCACATGTAAACTCATAGTCACTCTCTCAAACTTAGTATGGAGCCTAAAAGGTATGAGTCGCCCGCCTATTTTAAGCAAACAGGGGCTCTCAACCACTACTCCTGCTAGGCTAACAACCTTTGAGTTAATAGCCAAGCAAAACTTGGCAAATCAAGAGGACTATCCGGTCTCCGCCGCCTGGTTTCCGTACTACTCAAACAAAATAGGCAGTGATTGACTAACCGCAAGGTTAACCAGTCGCCCTCCTTAGTACGGAACCTAAAAGATATGAGAGGTCCGCCTGTTTTTTTGGCAAACAAGGGCTCTCGACCACTATTCCTACTAGATCTGACAGAAGCTACCGCCCAGGCATAGCTACTCTAGCCAGGCGTCCCGTTCACAGAAACAGACGGCCTGTCCCCATCAAACTTGGTGAAATTCATCAAATATTGTGAAACCATGCCAAAACATTTTGGCGCAGCTTGAGTTAATAGCCAAGCAAAACTTTGTAAGTGACACCTTTGTAAGTTAGAGAACACTTTTTTCACACAATATTTTTTAAAAAATAGTTAAACTTTTTTTTTAGGGAAAACGTCAAGCCTTATATTAATTAATGTCAAGTTCCGCCAGAGTCAACAAACTTTGCGGAAACGGACCAAGACAAACATACTCATCACAGTTTCTAGTGTCCCAACGAGACACGAGAAGGGCTACAGGATTTCCCGATCGTCTAACATGCAAAATAGAAAAATTATTGAATAAAAGAGACAAAGCAATAATATCAACAATCATCAAGAAGAGAGGAGAGCATCACTTTCGACTTCCACACGAGCATATCCCAACCTTCTAGCCATTCTCAGCCCATAACCAACAACCGCAACTTCAGCAACCTCCACAGGCCATCCATCACCTCCTTTCTTTACAGCAGCAGCCAGGATAGAGCCCCACTCATTTCTCAACACCACACCAAGCTGAGAGCCACCATTTACATGCGCATCGCAGTTTACCTTCACCACACCATTCGGTGGTTTACACCAATTATTCACAGAAGAGGGGGCACTGCTTGAGACAGGGGGTGTACCTTTGCCGAGTAACTGTTGTATTCCCGAACCATCCTAGTCATACCTGCTGCAATGGTGACAGGGTCAATTTGCACTTGCTCGAATATAAGGTTATTCATGCATGTCCACGAGGCCCAGCAAAGAGTTGCCCAATTTATTTGATCCTCCCTCGACAATCTGTCCTTTAGCCAGAGCACTGTGATGGTGAAACTATCCTTCGGTGCTTGCGATAAAATCTCATCAAAGGTGCTCACTGCCCAAATATTTCGAGCTGCAGAGCATTCGAACAGAACATCGGGAATTGACTCATCTCCCCCTCTGCACAGAGAGCATGTTTTATCCTCTAGTATATGCCGATACACTAATCTCTCACGAACAGCGAGAAAGCCTTTACACGCCCTCCACATGAAATGGCAAAGCTTTGGGGGTGCTTTCAAATTCCATATTAGTCTCCATACCACATCCTCAGTACTATCCACATCCAATAGTCCTCCATATACCAAACCAGTAACCCGAGCGCACAGTATACTCCCCATTCTTATTCGTCCACCAATACATCGTATCTCAAGTGCCACTGTTCGATAATGGGATTGAGAGCACTGCAGCCCTCTCAGTAGCTATAAAAGTGTCATTAACCCTTTTTACATCCCAAGTATTACTCGTATGATCGATTAAATCACACACTCTTAAGCTGAGATCGTTATCTACTAAGGGCATGGGAACCCAAGCAGAAGTATTACCAGGCAGCCACGCATCATTCCATACATTAACAGCATACCCATTACCAACCCTCCACTTCAATCCCTCGAATAGCAGAGATCTAGCTCCCCATATACTTCTCCAAACAAAGCTAGGATCAAAACCCACACTTGCGTTGAGAACGTCACAGTGTTTGAAGTATTTTGCCTTGAGTATTCTGTGAAGGAAAGTCTCATTATTGTGATGCAAATGCCAGAGTTGTTTTGCTAGTAAGGCTTGGTTGAAGTACCGGAGATCACAGAACCCCAAGCCACCCTTACCCTTTGGTTGGCACAATAGATCCCAGCGTTGCCAATGCATTTTCCTCCCTGAGTCAGTGGATCCCCACCAGAATCTGGCTAATAAAGAGTGTAGCTCATCAATGAAAGTGTCGGGGATTTTGAAAATACTCATCATGTATGTTGGAATAGCCTGGGCCACCGCTTTGATGAGTATTTCCTTACCCGACCTCACAACAATTTCTCCTTCCAACCTTGTAGCTTCTTCCAAAGTCTCTCTTTAAGCCCTGCAAAAATTACCTTCTTTGATCTGCCAATAATAGTTGGGAGCCCTAGATACTTATCATGCCTCTCAACCTCCGTTACACCAAGAATCACAATAATTTCCTCCCTGCGAACAGTATTCACATTTTTACTAAAAGTTACATCGGTTTTGCTAAGATCGACTTTCTGTCCCGATGGCCTCTCATATTTGCTGATAATATTAGCTATAACGGAGCATTATTGCACGGTAGCTCTAGCAAAAAGGATACTATCATCGGCAAAAAATAAATGTGAGACCCTTGGGGCTCCTCTACAGATTTTGGCTCCATGAATGAGATTATTTGCAGCAGCTTTATTCAACAAATTGGAAAACGCATCAGCACAAAGCAGAAACAAGTATGGGAGATCAGATCACCCTGCCTCAACCCTCTAGTCGGAAAAACAGAACCAGTAATCTTCTCGTTAATCTTAAAAGAAAAGTTGACGCTTTCAAGACAAGCCATAATACGCCCAATCCACTCCCTTGCAAACCCCATTTTTTCCATCACAAACTCCAAGAAAATCCACTCTACCCGATCATACGCCTTAGTCATATCAAGCTTCAAGGCAATGTTTTCCTTCCTTCCCCCACCTCCTCTCTTCATATGATGGAAAATCTCAAAAGCCACAATCGCATTATCAGTAATGAGACGTTTAGGAACAAAAGCACTCTGATTTTGGGACACTACATCTCCTAAAAACCCTTTCAACTTATTGGCCAATACTTTGGAGATAATTTTGTATATAACATTGCAACAACTAATTGGCCTATACTCAGAAATTAATTTAGGGTCTTTACATTTGGGAATAAGCACAATATAAGTATTATTGACATCTTTTAATTCCACCTCTCCCCTCCACCGGTTCTTCACATATGCAATAATATCATTTCCAAGTATATGCCAAAATTTCTGAAAAAAATAGAGCATGCATACCGTCGGGTCCGGGGGCTTTATTGGGGTGTTTTTGGAATAGAGCGGTTTTTATCTCCTCGGCAGTTGGTTCACTATTTAGCAGAGCGTTCATTTCCTCCGTGACAACTTCTTCAATTCTGTCAAGAGCCCCCTGGAAACCTGTTGGAGAGCTTGTCTCAAACAGATCTCTGAAATAAGCTTCAATTAGACGTTCAATGTCCACACGGTTATTTAGCCAATTCTCATTCGAATCTAGCAGCCCATTTATTCGATTGTTTGCTTGCGTTGACTAGCTTTGTGGTGGAAATATTTAGTATTCTTATCCCCATCCTTGAGTTCATTAGCTCGGACTCTGGCAAACCAAAAATACTCTTCTTGCATATAGCATATAGAGGGTGTCGAGAGCTTCAGAGATAGTTAAACTTAAATCTACACTTAGTTTGAAAAATGTTAGTTTTTTTTTTTTTTTTTTTTTTTTTTTTTTTTTTTTGTAAAGGCATGATCAATTTTTATGTATAATGTTAGTTTCAAAATTAATGTATTTGTAAAGGCATGATCAATTTTTATGTATAAAGTTAGTTCAAAATTTAAGTTGTAAATGTATGAATTTATTTATTTTTTTTAAAATATTTATTTAATCAGTAAAAACCGAAAGTGGACACTTGTCCTTTCAACTTGTTGTTTTAAAATAATAGTATTGATTTGTTCCAAAATATTATCTGCCCGTCTGATTGATTAAACATCCTTCTTCCCCCTCCAAAAAAAAAAAAACAAAAAAAAAAAAAAAATCCATATATTAAAAAGTTAGTTTTTTTTTTAACAGCTAACTATTTGAAGAACTTGGACGATAAAAGCAGAGGAGAGAGAAGGAGTGACAGTCCCCATCATAAGGAATTGCGAAAGCCAGCCATAGTTTTGTGTTTGTTTATCAAGATCATCTTCAGGATCACTCATCATACTTTGATTGGTAACGATCTACTTCAATTTTTATCTTTTTTCTTGATAATTTTATATTCATAATTTTCTTTTTATTATTGCGCTAATTAGGTCTCCTTTTTAAAAAAATTGAGATCAAAATTGACCCGAGTTCTACGATTCTACATGATTTTCCGCAATTCTAATAGTTTGATTGATTAATCTTACACTGATATATATTTAATTTTGAAGTTGTTGATATATATTTTTGTGGATTTGTGAAGAATTTGGTGTTGAACGTGATTGCAAGCAAGGTTAGATGGAAGAAAGTCATGGGCAATTGGGTGAACAGTAGGGAAATTGGGATTAATAGGTTGCTGAAATGTCCTCTGCCAGTATAGGGAATGGAGGGCCTGGCAGTTCAATGGCATCTAATGGCCAGAATGGCTCATCTAGTTCTGTGGATTGGTTGGGGAAAGAGATGCTTGAATTAAGACTCGGAGGAGACCGAGCAGACCATGATGATGATAGAGTAAGAATCTAATTTTAATATATGTGTTTATTTTTCGATTATAATGAACTTTTATGATTTGTATAATTGTTACATTATTATATTATAATGAGCACACTTTGTTTAGAGCTTGAAGTGTAAAAAATCGTCTAATTTTGTTCATCTCTTAGTAATTCATTTTGTCGATAAGAGGGGGGATGAGTATTGGATTGGTCATCGGAGTAAGCATTGGTTTGTTTTTTTGTTCGCTTTCCCTTCCTATGTTTGATCATAGCGTGTATTTTTTTGAGAACTCTCTCCCTTCATGTCTAGGCCAAATGCTTATATCTTGTCCTTCTATCATGTGTGGAAAGTTTAGGTTACCCCAACTGAGGACTTGTTTATGGGAAAAACTTGTTGAACCCATTAGCAATAATTCATTGTAACATAAATCTTTTCTCTTGATGCAAGTATGCCTTTATCTTGTTAGTGGAGAAATCAAACAATTTTCAATCTTCACTTCTTATCTATGGCATGTACTATCAGGGTTTTGTATTTATAGTATTTTCTGTATTGCTATGGATTCCAATAATGTGGGCTGTAGCACATGTGTAAGAGAAGGGGTGGAAGGGGGATCAGTGTTGGTCCATCTATTAGTATTCTTTATTACATATGTGTGGCATCTCTGTTGATATTCTGAAAAATGGTTCTGGTAACTAGAATTGCAGTTTAGCAAATTATTTCTCTTACAATAACAAGTTGATGAAACTACATTTTTAACCATACATTACAGGCAACTACCATACAATACATTACGGACAAATTGTAATTGCTCATAGTAATTGGTGTCATTATATGAAGAGAGGGCTGCCAATGAAAATCATTTACCTTTCAAACTTATAAATCATGTGTGAATGCATTTTAGTATCCATAAAATGATAAAAATTAAAAAAATTAATCAATTATGCTGGCATGCCACATAAGCACTTGTCTTCTCCATAACAGCGTGAAAAAGGATAAATTCCTGGTCACAGGAAAAAAAAAAGAACTGAGTCTTGTTTGCTCAAATTTTAATTTTATCCTAAATTGTCGGTATCCAATAAAAATAATAGGTGCATGGTAAAAATCCATTTCCATGTTAATTTAGTTCTGAAAAGGAATCATCATAACATAAGGTGTCAAAACAGAAGTTATTAGAAAACGGTAGGGATATGAAGAATTTTTGGCTAGGATCCATCAAACAGAAAGTTCTTATAAAGATTTGGCTCGCCAATCACCCCTTTCATTTCTGCATTGGTAGATACATGCTGTGGATAGGTATATGAGACTTTGGCCGGATTTGGTAAGGACAAAACAGAAACGACTTCTCACTTTCTGTTTAGACATCTATAAATGAATATTTTATTACTTCATCTGAAATTAAGAATCTTCAACAGCTACTAGATCTTCTGTTTACATTGATTGATTCTAGGTGGGAAAATTTTGCCTTTATAAACATCTAAATGAAATGGAACATTATATACTTTTTTCCATTGGATAGATGTGGATGGCCTTTGGTGGATGATAGCTGTAATTCTGCATCTCTACTGTGTTTTCCATAATACGTTATAGCATGAGAGGGTTTTTTACTTCATAGTAAAGAGGGTTTGACTGGACAAAGCATAAATACCTTTTCCATAAAAATTTCATCCATTTTCATTTTACCCATATTTTGTCTTTTGTACTTCTTTATCTACTTGTTTCTTATAGGTTGAAGCAAGCAAACTACCATATCCTTGAAAAAATAAAGAAACTGTATATAGAACAGGACTGATTTTTAATTATAGACGATTACTTATTTAAATGGTCAGTGTGCTGGTCCTCAGATCATCAATTTGTACCCTCATTACCCATGTACCAGTATCTAAAAAATTTCCTTGTCTGAAACATGGATCTACACCTAAGTTTGACAACCATATCCAAGTCCAAGCATCATAAGAAATTACTACTATAAAATAGTGTGCCAAACTGCCAATAATATAACCATCATTCATAGTAAACCAGAAAAATCTTCTTAAGAAACATGAAAGCTAAATTGGCATCATATATTTAATTCATTATATCTGATAAGATAAGACATTCAATTTATTGGATTGTTTATGAGCAGGGTTGCGTATGAGCACACCCTTAGAGTTGTTATGTACGATCATACTAACTAAGCTTAGATTGTAAACTTGATGTAGGAGCAATTCTATTAGGTGCAAAACTGTTTGTCTCTATGGAATTGGCCTTTAATTACAAATGTCATAAATGACTGATATAATATTTCAAAATTGGATCATTCAGCAGGATAGTGAACCAGATGTTATTGATGGTGTTGGTGCAGAAGCGGGGCATGTTATCAGGACAACAATTGGCGGTCGTAATGGTCAACCTAGACAGGTTGGATGAATTCTATGCATAAAATTTTCAGGTTGTTGCTTGAGTGAGATGATCTTTAAGATCTTAGCAAGATTATTTGATTTCCTTGGACAGACCATCAATTATATTGCAGAGCACGTGGTTGGAACCGGTTCCTTTGGTGTTGTATTCCAGGTGAGTGTATCCATGGTTACTTTATGTTTTCTTGTATTTCTTAGGCTGTATTGGATTCTGTCTTGTAAATCGAAATTCTTTATGTAGGCAAAGTGTAGGGAGACTGGGGAGATTGTAGCCATCAAGAAGGTGTTACAGGATAAACGCTACAAAAACCGAGAGTTACAGATCATGCAGATGTTAGATCATCCTAATATTGTAGCTCTCAAGCATTGTTTCTTTTCAACAACAGATAAGGAGGAGGTATACCTTAATCTCGTTCTCGAATATGTTCCTGAAACTGTCAATCGCATTGCAAGGGGATACAACAGAATGCACCAGAAGATGCCTCTAATATATGTCAAACTCTATACCTATCAGGTATATGCTATCAAGCATATTCATGTTATCTTCCCTATCTCTTTTGTGGCCCCTTATGTAAGTCTTGTAAGTTTTTCAATTGAAATTATTAAAACTCTATATTAATTGCATGCTGAAATGATATTAAAATACTTTCAGTCGACTACTTAAAAGAGAATATAAAAGGAAAGGTTCTAACACTTCCCTTCTTCACCCATTTTAGATGGTTTTTAACAGTTTATTTTTATTCCACTTTTGGCAAACCCCTTTTACTGTATGATATTATAACCCCCACTATAGCTACACACTTACAACTTTTAGGTCATTGTTTCATGGTTCCATTCACCTCTCTCTCTCTCTCTCTCTTTCTCTCTCTTACTTTTTCCACCTTTTTCATACACCCACTCACAACATCAACATTCTCTTTCAAATTGCTTTAATTTTGGTGCAAAAAGTAAAAGTTAGGAACTTTCTGAGGATGGTTTAGATAGGAAAGGGAGCTAATGTCTGAAAAGCCACATCCAAGGCAATTGTTCTATATTTAGCTTGTAACTATATGACCTTAATCATCGTTGAAGTTTGAAATAATTCATTGTGTTCATTCTACAAGTAATTGATGTAAAGATTGGGTAAGATTTTTTAGCGTAACTTAGTAGTAATGTTCTTTTTCTCTCGGTCCTTTCAGGTCTCTTAATATTAGATTTTAAACCCATATTTTGAAGCTCAGTTGAATATTTTTTGTGAGAATTTAAGATCGTTTATAATCTCTCATAGTTTTTATCCACATTTATAATCTCTCATATTCTAAATCTTAAATTAGTATTCCAAAATTCAACTTATATTTTCTAAATTTTAAATTGTGTTCAAATATTTCTAATCATATATTCTTGGTTTTAATTTATATGTTTTAAAACTTTACTCGTATTTTTTATTCACATGCTCTAAATTTAATCCATATTTTTTAAATTTTAAATCAGGTGTTCTTTATTTTTAGTCACGTGTTTTAAATCTTAAAATAGATATTTTTAATTATAAACTAGGTTTTCTAAATTTTTACTAACTTGGTCTAAATCTTAAATTAGATGTTCTAAATTTTACTTATATTTTCTAAATTTTGAATCACGTGTTCTTAATTTAAATCGTATGTTTAAAATTTTCACTTGTATTTTCTAAATTTTCACTCACATGTTTTAAAGTTTAGATCTATTTCATAGAAGTATGTGTTTAGGAGAATACTATTGTGAGAACCCCTCCTTTATGTTAGAAAACTATCTATGTTCTAAATCTTTACTCGTATGTATTCAATTTAAAATCGGGTAGGTCTAAATTTTGACTCGTATGTTTTTTAATTTTGAATCAAGTGGTCAAAATATTTACTCACATATTCTAAACCTTAAATGAATTAAATTAGATGTTCTAAATCTTATATTAGCTGTTCTAATTTTAACATGTATGTTCTAAATGTTAAATTGTGTGTTCTGTTTAGTAAGGAATGCTTGGAGGAAGAGTACAACTCCTCCACTAAGTCACTAGGTCAAATTGGTATTCAGAGGTGCGGCGACGGTGATGGAGGAAAGGAGAGAGAGTGAAGGGCGGTGATGGAGGGAGGTGAGAGATAAAAGTGATTTTTGGGTGGCTAGGGTTATTTTGTGGTGGTTTGTGGGTGGGCGATGGATGGTACGATGGTGTTGCTAGTGTTGTAGTGGTGGGTTTGTAGGGGAATGCTAACGTGGAGGTGATGGTGGCTGGAGGTGGAGGGTTTTTTTAGAAGAAATATAAAGAAAAATCAAAATCAATTTTTTGATAAGATAATTACAAAAATTAAAAAAGGCTAATAAATCAAATTGTGACAATAATCAACCTATTGAACAGATTATCAACATGTCACATTATATTCAAAGCGGATGTTCCTCAAAGGTGGTATTATTCTAGGATAATTAATAGGATGTTTTATAGAGGCTGGGTAAAGAATGTATTATTTTTGACAACTTTAAAAAATTACACTTGGGATACACTTTGACTATGAAAATATATTGATATATATACTATGTATAAGAAAAATTATACATGTGTATTGATATCATACTATATACAACATGTGAGGATTGTAGTATAACTCAAAAGTCCTAACTCAAGACATGAGCTTTAATTAGACATTATACGTGCAAAAGTAATATTAATGTTAAAAACTGTAAGGAGAGAAGCTAATGTACCAACACTCAAAACAAAAAGAAGGTTAAACATGAGCAGACTAAAATATCTAAAGATCGAAAACGAAGGGGAGAATATGCTTTAGGGAAGAAGGCTTTTGGAGCATGGAAAAGCCTTGTGTAATTTGGACCACAAAACAGATGCCAATTAAGTGAATATAAATGGTCTCATGTGACGGTTGAAGGGGAAAATTTTATAGGATTGCCATAAGACTGTTTCTTTATGGTACAAAATGTTAGGTTTCTAAGAAGGAGCACATTAAAAAGATGGAGGTTACGGAAATGCGCATATTAAGATGGATGTGCAGGAACACTCTTAGAGATAGAGTATAAAAAATGAAGTTATTCGCAAGAAAGTGGGTGTTGCAGGCATTGTAGACAAACTAAGGAAAAATTATCTATGTTGGTTCATGCATGTAAGAGGGAGACCCCATAGGTACGAAGAGTGGGATCATGGAGAGCTTAAAGTAGGTAGAGGGAGACCGAAAATGACTTGGTTGGAAGGAGTTAGGAAGGATATGGAGCAAATGGATTTGCACGAGAATGAGATATTTGATTGTAAGGGATAGAGGAGGAAAATTCTTGTGGATGACTACGGTATAATCACTTTTGGTGTATGTAGCCGACCCCACTTATGGGATTAAGGCTTTGATTGATTGAAATTGTCTCATCTGTTTTCTTAAGATTAGATATATAACTTACATGAATGTTAATCAAAATTTTGAATGTTACATGAATGTTAATCAAAATTTTTTACTTGAATTAAAAACATTTGTGGATAAAATGTCGAAAGTAATAACTTTTGCTGTGACATATTTCATTCCAAATTAACACTGAGAATTTCTTAGATGCTGTTGAATCCTGACTGATATAGGATGCTGTGTATAGGGTCAGATGTTTGGTTAAAAATGGAGGTGTACAATTTGTAGATTGAAGTATTTTCTATGATTAGTAGAAGCCTTCTGGTTTGAATGTAGTTATTATGCTTTTTCCTTGGATTGCTCATGATTGGTCCATTCTTCTGTTTTGTTTCCTGAGATCTCCTTCATAGAATGTCTGCTAGGTGTAGGATTCCTCTGTTTGAGAGTTGTCCTCAGCTGTCTTGTATCAAGCTATGGTACTAATATTAATTGCTCAAATTTCTGTCTATTTCAATTAATTTGAGTTTTAGGATTTTCTTATACAAATTGAGGCAGTTTTATTATATAATATGAAAACACTATGCACTAATGTGACCTATTGTCATATACTCCCTCCGTCTCAGAATACTTGACACAGTTCCCATTTTCGTCCGTCCCAAAATACTTGACATGTTACTAAATATGGAATGGGACCACTAATAAAAAAATATATCCCTATACTCTCTTTGGGACCACAAACCCCAAAACCCAATTAAATCCACATTTTCTCTCTCCTCACTACCCCCACTCCCCCACTTGTTTTGTTACAATATAAAATTACAAATGAGAATCCTTTATAGAATAAACAAATGTTTTTAATAGACCCACTTGTAGTTTTCTTAAACTACGTGTCCAGCACAACGTCCGTTGGTTATTTAAACTTGGTTCTTTAAACTTGTTGAGTTTCATGGAAAATTGGGCTCACATAATTGGGGCTTTGTTTTATATAAGTGAGGTGCAGCTATGGCCATTTATTCTACTTATTTTGGAGCTGTGTTTGGCTACTCTTGTGTGCATTTCTATTACATCATCAGGCTCTATTTGGTTTGCCATACTTCCGCTTATTTTAAATCAAATCAATTCAAATAAGGGTTTAATAAGCTCAAGTAAAATAAAGGTAAATTAAGGTTATGGATAAGGGTTAATAAGAGCTACCCACGTTTAATTTACAACTAAAATAAGTTTATAATTTCAAACAAATTATTTAGTTAAGTTCAAATTAGTAAAAATTATTGTAGGTGAATATAACACACCCTAATTAAAATAATATATATATTTTTTCTATTTTAGTACTATTGGTATTTTGAAGTTAGTTCCTAAGTTGCCAACTATTGTCATCCTCTTTGGTTAAGAATCCTTGGTACCTTTTTATTTATCTACGTAGTATTTTTTTTTTTTTTTAATAATATTGGAATAAAAAATTGTCTAGTTTATGACTTCAGCTGTATTGCAATTTCAGTTCAGCTTTTGGGTTAATCATGGTGGATTTATTAGGATTTTAACATAGCATCCTTTGGGCTTAAGCAGCAAGGGCTTCTATGAATGAAGGGGTGGGTGTGTAGGAATTTTACTAAGCATCTTGAGGAGACATTTACAGAAAATGCTTATGGTCTGTTATGTGATTAACTATGGAGTAGCTGATACTGGTTCCCCCTCTCCCCTCTTTCTGTATAACTTCACTCACTTGTTTGTGGTTAATTTTCTGCCTATGCAGATCTGCAGGGCACTGGCATATTTACACAACTGCATCGGAATATGCCATCGGGATATTAAGCCTCAGAATCTACTGGTAAGATTTGAGCATTGTGGACTAAAATCTAATACTTTTTGGTATTGTAATTGGAATGATTACAATAAAAAAGCCTTGTGTTGTTACTCTTGGTATACGCCAAAAACTTTGATTTGTATCAGATTGATTTGACATTAATTTCCTGTCAAGTCCAAGTTTTCAAAAGCTATGTGAATTTTGTGTCTCAGATTGTGCTGTAAATTTATAGTATCGTTTTAGTTGTATTACCTAAGAGAACTATTGCAATGGGCTTGCAATTTATACTTGCAGTTTGTTTTCTGATTTTGGCAATATAATTTAGATCCCTAGTTATGTAAATTACTTACGTTATAGAAATGTATAGAATCTGGAAAATTGTGGTACTAAGATATATATATATATTTTTTTTTCCCCGCTAATATCTTAAATGTGTGTTTAATGTAGTATAAATGGAAACATAAGTAGTGACATTAGGCAAAATAAGATGTTTGTTTACTACTATGCTTGGCCCTACTAATTTAAAGGTTGGATGATTATTATGATATGGTGGAAAATACTGCGGATTATAATGCAAGATTTTATCATAGGGAGGGATCTCGTGAGAATAGTCACTATGTGAGAACACGTACTTTATATACTTTATATGAGAACTGATCTCAAATATACATGTGAGTAAATAATTGGAATATATCAGTAAAAATCCAGAACATATGATTTAAATATAGAACATAAGATTAAAAATCTTAGAACATAAATTTTTTTTTAGAACAGCCTATTTAAGATTTAGAACATGTGAATAGTAATTTAGAACATATGATTTAACTCATTAAAGATTTAGAACATGTGAGTAATAGTTTAGAACATTATATTTTACTCATATAAGATTTAGAACACGTGAATAAAAGTTTATAACATCAGATTTAAAATTTAGAACATGTGAGTAATAGTTTTTATATAACATGCTTTCTCTCTCTAGTTTATGGTTTTCATTCTCCCTCTCAAATCGAATCGTATTCTTTCTTCATCTTTTAATTTTTTGTAAGCCCTTAAATGCTTAGAATTTGTGCAATAATATTGATCCCATATAAATCATTGGTTTTACTATTTGGAGACATAATTATCTTGCACAATTGTACTGAAATATTTCGTTGTGGTGCTAGGTAAATCCGCATACACACCAGCTCAAACTTTGTGATTTTGGAAGTGCGAAAGTATTGGTATGCTTTTAATTGGCCGGATAATAATAAGATTTATATGTCCATTTTGAGATATTTTATCAATTTTGTTGTTTCTTTTGTCTGTTCTCTTGTGCCCTAATTTTTTTCTTTTTCTTTTTTTTTTGCTTATTCATTGTGTTAGGTTAAAGGAGAACCCAATGTTTCATATATATGCTCAAGATACTACCGTGCCCCAGAACTTATTTTTGGGGCTACCGAGTATACCACTGCAATAGATATATGGTCTACAGGATGTGTTATGGCAGAATTACTTCTTGGGCAGGTGGTTTATTTTCATTAGAAAATGTTGACTGCTATATGGTTGGTGATATACATCCTTTAACCTTAAATGAATATTTTTAACAGCCATTATTCCCAGGAGAGAGTGGGGTGGATCAATTAGTGGAGATCATCAAGGTAAGAATATCTATCATGCTAAATTTTTTTATTTTTTTATTTTTTTGATATTTTAAATGAGTTTGGATCCCTTGTACCAATGCTCATAGAGCGAAATTTTTTTGGACATTTCTTCAAACTCTATTAGGGCAACTGAGGGAAGTACTTAGTATAGAGAGTTATTAATGAATCCACTTAAGGAAACTAAATAAAAATAGCTCAAAGTTGTTGGTGTACAGTTGTGCTGAATAGCTAGCATTAACATACTTTTGCTCCATCCCTGTCTAATCTTGGCCATTGAAAGATCCACTAAGTTTTGGTTGGAGAAAAGGGAGGCTTCGATCATATTGTGAGTGGGACTTAGTTCTTGATGTGAAGATGAGAGAGACTTTATTCTTGTTGTTGTGACGTATACCTGGAATATACTTCCTCCATTCCCCTAATATTGCAACATGGGGGAGACACGGAATTTAAGATGAGGAGAGATAAATATAAATGGCGACCATGTGATGAGGAGAGAGAGAGAAAACATGTGCATATATGGTAATGTTGCAATATTTGTGAAACTGTCTAAAATAGTAATTGTTGCAATATTAGGGGAACAAAGGAAGTATATACATTTTTTTGATGGGCAACTTATAATTTTCTTTTTTGCCTAATTCTTTTTGACATTGAGGGATCAAGACGAGGTTCATGCTAGATACCTGCATATGTATCCAGGTCTTTGATTTCATCCTATAGCAATTTCACTCATGAGGCCTGGAATGAGTGTTACAAAAGGTATAAATAAAGAGGTGAACTATTGTCAGGGAACTGATTTAAGAGGTGAGATTTTAAAAGGGGTAGGGGTAATCTAAGCTGAGGTGTGAGGGTAATGCTTTTTTTGGAGTAATTGATTTCATCTTTCATTGAATTCATCAGATATCATGTTTACATGGAACCACCACCATTGACAGCACCACCAAAAACCACCATCACCTTCCTTGAGCCACCGCCAAAAACCAATTGTTTTGACAATTTCCTCATTGAATTCTATAGATCTTCAAATTGTAAACCAATGAGGGTGCAATTTTTTTTTTTTCTGGTGAAGGAGAGAGAAAGGAGAATAACCAAGGAGATGTGAGAAGGGAGGGAAAGATACATAGGAGAAAGAGAAGGTAGAGCTAATGACTAGAGAGTCATGTGAGAAAGGTATGGAGGTATGGGGAGAAATTAGTAGAGGAAGTTATTCAAGGGGTTAAAAAATTACCGAGGAATTAGGTGGGGAACTTTTATCCTCATTTTTAGAAGAATATGTTTCCCTATTACAGTCCAAATAGTTAAAAATACTATTTTTTCCTCCTTTACTTTCTCCCTTCTTATTTGTCTTATCATCACCTAGTGGCTTGATAAAACCAGTGGGGGACAGGCTATCCGTGAAACTCCATTGGATGGAATTCTCTTTATATTTTCTTGATTATTTTCGGATTACCTATGCACCTTGAAGAAATTATTAAGGTACTCCTATTGTTTTAATGTTCGTGAGATGTCCGTTACTTAAAAACTAATTCATAGAACACTCGTTTTTTTATTTTTATTTTATTGAATTTCTTTTTATTTAATTATTTTTCATGATATATTTTGATTTAGAGTTACTCTAATCTTAAACTTGCCAAGAGAAAGTTAATAGATCAAAATACTATTCTTGGTATCCGTTGGGCAACAAAAGAACCAGAAAACCCAGGAGTTTGTATTCAAAGGTTTTTGAATTGTGGAGTAAATTGTATATCAAGGCTATATTGTGAAAATTTGACCACCGGTACTTTGTTAATGATGTAAATTCTTCCCCACCCTCCCCCCTCCCCCCTTCTCCCTAAATTTCTTTTATTTTAGCAAAATTTGTCAAAAAGGTCCTTTTAAGTAGGCATATTTGTTGTAAAGGTCCTTTTATAAAAAAGGTGGCACAAAAGGTCCTTTTACCCACTTAGGTTGTGGCGAGGGTCCTTAGACCAGGTTCCGGTCATTGACTTGTTTTTTTTTTTTTTTTTTTTTTTTCCTTCTTTCCGACCAAAAAAAGTCATTTACCTTGCACGTGACCACTTAAAGTCCTTTTCCCGCCTGTTCCCTTTATTAAACCCTAATTTCTTCATCATGAACCTCAATGTGAATCCTCTTCTATGAAAAAAATCATTAAACACCAATTCAAGTCCTTCACATTAAAATAGAAGGCAATTGAAGACAAATCGAACCACGTCAGAGGGTAAAGGGGGAAAAAAGGATTTTATGTGGTGCACGTGATTTTTTTTTTGTCGAAAAAAAAGTCAATGACTGAATTCCGGTCAAAGGACCTTTGTCACAATCTAAGTGCAATAAAAAGACCTTTTGTGCCACCTTTTTTATAAAAGGACCTTTACAACAAAAAGATCTACTAAAAAGGACCTTTCTCACAAATTTTTCTTGATTTTATATTATTTTATTATCTTCTTTCCTCCTTAATGAAAGTGCCATTTGGATGAGTTAAGTGGGAGTATATATCATCGTTGTTGACTTTTCAAAATTGGGTAAAAACTTTGTATGGGCTGTTTACTTTGATGGAGACATATATTTGTACTTGAAGAGAATGGGTGGTAGAGAGGGGGGGGGGTTGGGGATTACATATGAAGGGTTGCACAATTTTTTAATTTAAAGGTTTGGAAATTTTGTCGAAAAAGCCTTTTAAAAGCACTATCTTGCGAAAAAAAAGCCTCTAAAATTCGTTTGCAAACTAAAACCACTAACTTAAGGTCTGTTTGGTATCGTCGTAGCTTTCTGTTTTTTTTTTATTTTTTTTTATTTTTAAAACTATATGATATGCGTCATATAATGAATCAAAACTTGGTAAAACTTATTATAATCACGATAATTTACAATAGAAAAGTGGAAACAACTTTTTTAAGTTTCCTATTTTTGGTTTTCGTTTAAAAAAATAAAGAAAATTGCAACAAAAAAATGATGACGAACAAGCTCTTACTTTTTTTAGCAGGATGAAATAACATGCTTTTTTGGTATTGACTCACGTTTTCCGACATTGACTTTATTTTTCTCTTCCTCCCTCACCCGCCACCATTTTTAACTCTCCTCCAACCAACTGATGCGGGAGCAATCATCCAGGATAAGTTTTCTTAGAAGATTCTTGGAATGTTTGCGAGGAATTTTGCAATTTTCTTGCAAATCTTGAAGATTCTTGGATTTTATTGATAACCTACACTATTGCTTAGTTATTAATTAATTATGAGGATTTTTACCTATGGGTTTGTACCTTTCACTTGAAAAGGTTTTTCCTATTTTTAGGGTTTTGGTTATTAGGATATTTATTTGTTTAATTCAGGATAGAATGAGTAGTTGGTTACAAGTATGATTAGGAGATGAATTAGAATTAGGATTCCTAGTTTTCCGTCTGATCTAGGATTATGATTATGATTATGATTAATAGTTTCCTATCTTATCTTTGTAGGATTTTTCATCCTATAAATATGGGCGCATACCAATAAAGTTTTTGAGTGTGTGAGTTTTGTTTTGAGAATGAATCCTTTCTCTCGTTACTTGTTGTGCATAACGAATCCTTTGAGTTTTTGAGGATTTTTCGCCCTATAAATATGGGTGCATAACAAAAAAACACTTGTTGTGACTTGTGATAATCTTCTAGTTGCAACTAGGAAGAGACCCTCTATTCCTGTGAGAATAAGAGTACTAACCCTTTTATTTTTGTGTAAATTTTTTAATTTTACTAAATTAAAAGATCCAATATTATTATAGCTTGCAAGCTTTGTGAGTCTTAAGGGATCCACATCACCAACGCCACCAATGTTCGCTCTCCTCCCACCACGACCACCACAATTTCTCATCTCCTGCCTTCAATTTTCTCTCCTCTCATCATAAACTGATCCATCACTGTTGTACATCCTCACTCCCCTCCTTACCCCGATGTAGTTGCTCTCACTGCCGTTTGTCTTCCTATCTCTTACCTTGCTGCAATTTTTTTCTCCTCTTCGTTTAATTATTTGGCCATATAGTGGTTGAATTCAGATCTATGACCAAATTCGACTATATTAGGGTCGGTTTCCATCATTAGCGTGTGTTGTCGTTTAATTCATGGTGGTGGTTGTAGTTCTCATGGTAGATTAGCTTTGATGATGGGGCAGAAAGTGGAAGAGGGCAGCATCAAAGGTGGTGGTGGTTCCGTTTTTGTTGTAAGGAGAGAGAAAATTGAAGGGTGGAGAGGAGAAATAGTGGTGGCGGTGGTGGAAGAAAGGAGAGAGAATAGTGGTGGCGGTGGTGGGAGAACAGAGGACAATGGTGGTGGGAGGAGTGAAAACATTGGTGGTGGTGGTGGGAGGAAAGAGAATAGTGGTGGCGGTGAGGGAGAGGGAGAGGAGGGAAAAATAAGCAGTCAGTGCTGGAAAATGTGAGTCTAACATCGGAAAAGTATGTCGAGCTTTCATCTAGCAAAACATAGTAAGTTGGTCATCTTTGTTTGCTAATAAATTATAAAATTATTTTTTGCATAATGGTGCTCTTAAAAGTTTCTGACAAATTTTTCCGAAGTTTTTAAAGTATTTAGTATGTGTACTAATATTGTATAGAGGCTCAATTCTGATTACAAAGTGTTGCTTTGTTGATGTGTGCTTGATATGCTTTGGCTTTTCGAAATATTGAGCATTATATTTTATGCCGTTAGATGCTATGTTACTCGGGTACCCATATCCGACACGGCTACGTGTCCAAGTGTCCAACTCAGCTATTTTGTGAAAAATTTCAATGATTTTGAACTAAAATGAAGTGTCCAAGTGTCATACCCATGTCCGAGTGTGAGTGTCCGACACGGGTACTTGAGGTAAAATGAAGAGTCCTAGTAACATAGGTTAGGTGGGTGCTTTCTATAATTTCCTTGGAATTTTATGTTTGGGACTATAGACTTTAGGTATGTTGTGTGCCACAATCTATACTGGTTTGCATTTGCAGATCATTCTGTTTAACTTGAGAAATAGAAGTTTGAATATTTCTAGGTAATCTGCATGTGTTCAGCATACTTGTATTGTTGCTTCTCTTTGGTGCTATCCTCTAGAGGATTTCCTTGGTTTATCCTGTGGATGATGTACAACATGTAACACATGCAATTTTGTTACCTTTAGTTTTTAGAGGAGTCCTGATCATCTTCCTATCCACTTTATTATTATCTTATGTGCATTTCTTTTTACTGGAAATAATATTAATCCTGTCTTGCATTCAATAATCAACCTTATCTTTATCAGAATGCATAACACAGTTTGTTGCAGGTTCTTGGAACACCAACTAGGGAAGAGATAAAATGCATGAATCCCAATTACACTGAATTCAAGTTTCCACAGATAAAGCCTCATCCATGGCACAAGGTAGGACTAAATAGTGTCGATTGTCTCTATCTCTTAGTTCCCATTGGTGGATCTGTTGCTCTTATGGTGCGGGTTTTCTGTCTGGGGCAAGCATTGGCAATATGTCCTAATACTGCTTTTGTTACCTATCGACAAACAGAAACAACCGAATTTCTTATAATTTCGTACTATTAACAAATTCCATACGATTACCAAAATTAAAGAAAAAGATTGATGAAGACAAGTTTTGTCACGCCAATCCATTTAGTCAGATACTCATTTTCTTTACACAGTAGCCTGAGAATTGAAGAATACAGTCACAATGAAAACCCTTGTGGGATTTACACTACTTACAGAAGATTCTTGTCTTATGTCGTTTCTTATATCTTGCTCTTCTTTTTGCATCTTGTGAAATCTCACGGGCTCACAGCTATATATGCATTGCCTTGTTCATGTAGAAATAAGACTTTTGGAAGTTTTATTTACTAGGATGTCTAGGAATGCTTTGAGTATTCTGGAGGGAGAGAGTGAGAGAGTACAATATCTCTCAACTCAAGGTGGATTAGTTATGATATTTCTGAACTAGAGGTTCAATATTGTTTAAGATTGACATTTGTTTTGTAAATTAATGATAGTAATATGTCAATAAAATAATGCTCATGCAATTTTAGCAGTGCACACACTCACCTTTCTTGATATAAATGATGTCTTATTGAATTCATTGCCTATGCATATTTCGTTATTGATGACATATCCAAATTTAATATAGTGGTATTGTCCTATTATAATTTAGAACATCGCATCTGATGCTTAAATATGATTACCCTAGACCCTTTTCCAATTCAAGGTAAGCATAGCCTCTGCAAAGGAATCTAGCTGCTGATGATTCTATTTGCCTTGTTCCTTTTATTTGATCTGGAACAAAATTAACAACAATTCAGATCTTCCAATGTCTATATTTGATCCATCTCTATTCAGACTGACTTTATTAGCCCAAACTCATAATTAAATTTTTCTTCATTGAATTAAGATTAGGATTAGATTTGTATTTCTTTGAATCAGGTGTAGCTTTAATTATGTTCGTACAAATTATTTATAAAATATTGAAAATAAAACTTTGTTTAACAATGATGTACTTGTTTTACTGTTTTAGAAACGGAAAACTTAATAAACTCATAGTGATAGTATTATCTTATATTTTATTTATTTTGTGTTGGTGAGGTAGCAATAGGAATCTTAGTCAGGCTGGGTTGGAGCTGAGGTTTTTTTCCAAAATTTATTCAGACTATTTTAATTTGATTCTTATTCTGATTTTCATAATTTATTAATTGGGACAGATTTTTTCTTTTCATGGACTCAGAGTTGAACTGGTTTCGGGCTTGATTAATTTCCATTGTCTGGGATGATTACCAACTTTTTATCTCTTTTGACATAAAGAGCTCTCAAATATGTTATAGGACGAGTACTTTGTAGCCTAGGAATTCAGCAACTTCCCTGTCACCCTTCACACTCTTGCAAAAGAAAATTTACCTTTTAGTTTTGTTTGAATCCAGATTGAGCTACAAAAGTATCAAGATTCTTTTTAGATACTGCCACTGAAATCACCTGTTGTGATAAGCATATCATTTGCATTACTATTAGGAGTCGTCTTAAGCTTCTTACACCTGGAATGTAAATGAAATGCTCTTCTTTGTATATCAGAATCATGACATTACAGGATTTCTTGTCAATTAGAAATTGATTGCAGGACAACGGATTCTTTTGCTTTAGAACCATCAGTTTATAAGAATCCTTGCAGATTTGCTTAATATTTTAATCTTCACCTGTAGCACACAGTGAGATCCAGTTGGAGGGTCATTCATTCAAGCCATGGCTGAATGTTATTTTAAGAAACATTTGATTTTCTGTTTTGCTTAGCTCTAAATATGTTTGTGGTCAAACTATATGATATAAGGCTAACATATTACTGATTTTTGTTTGGGGTAAGAGATCCACCTTTCTTTTAGCAGTCATTTTATTCAAGATTTCTACTTCTGTCTAAAGAGATACATTTCTTCATACATATAGGAAGCTTAGATTTTGGCTTTCAAAACATACTTGGTATATTGGAGTTGCACTTTTGTACAGGTTTGTTCTGTTTGGATTTGCTGTGTTTTAGAATTGCATAGGTTTTTGTTTACAGAGAATTTATACCATTAATATTTCTTGGATATATAGAAATATAAAGAGGGCCTATGTCCTAAATATTATTAGAATATAAGACTTTTTTCCCAAAAGAAGTTTCATTGCTGACGTAGCCGCTAAATGAACTGAGAATATTCAGCTCGAAGTCATTCCAGAATAGATCTTAGACCGTGGTTACACCTGTGGTAGGTTTTTTTTTTTTTTTTTTTTTTTTTTTTTTTTTTTTTTTTTTTTCCAATGAGGTGATGCCTGGAAAAAGGGGCACAAAATCTATCACTCAACCTATTATACATAATAGCACTGCGGGTGCTTAAGCTCGTTCGCTAGGAATTTTTTCCCTGGAAAATTAGTTTTAAAAATTCATTTTTCATTTTTTTTTATAACCATTTTGTTTTGCATTTTAAGCCTTACTTTGAATTCATATACTTTTGTAACTGTTGCGTATTTTCTCAGGTCTTTCAGAAACGTCTGCCTCCTGAAGCAGTAGATTTAATTTGTAGGTTCTTTCAGTATTCTCCAAATTTGAGATGCACTGCTGTAAGTTGGCTGCTATTTTTTTATGCTTCTTGTCATTAATTTGTTTCTTTTATCTTCCATATAACTCTTGGTAGAGTTGATAGAGGATTGTGTAATGCCAACTTTATATATCCAGTATAATTATTCTGCAGTTGGAAGCTTGCATTCACTCGTTCTTTGATGAGTTGAGGGATCCAAATACACGACTTCCTAATGGTCGCCCTCTTCCTCCTTTGTTCAATTTCAAGCCACAAGGTACGATTTTATTGTCAATGCATGCTGGATTGAGATTTAAATTTTAGTGGAGTTTTTATTTGGCTGCTTTTGGGAAACAATTGTTGTAATGGTTTAGCTTTGAAAAACTTGTTCTGAACAAAGTCAGGACAGTGGGGCTGAAATCTGGAACTATTTGGGAATTATGTTTTTAAGTGTTTTTATCTGTAACATCCAACACTTTGAGCTGTGGAAAAAGGAAATGCCCAACTTGTTTAAAGCATTCAAATTTGAGCGTTAGATCAACCCTTGTTTAAGTTTTGTTGCCATGTCAAAGTAACTTTGTTAGGAATGAAGGATTTGGATAACAGAGGCTCATGAAGATTGCCTAAGTATGGAAGCAAGACCCTGATTAATATGCATATTTTAACCTATTTACTTTTGTGTTGGGCTGGTACATCTTTTGTTCATGTGAGCTTTCATTAGTCACTGTATAATTTGACATGAATAGGTTCTGCCATATCAATGTATAATTTGTGATACCCTTGATTAATAGGTTAGCAAGACCCTGATTAAAATGTTTCTGTCAACCCTGATGAATTTCGACTTTCACTTTTATCACTGTATAATTTACTGAGGATATGTGATAAGGGCTGAACCCCTTATTGAACTCTGATTTACAGAGTTTAAGCAAAATTCCAGAAATATAGATATAGAGATAGAAGAGAAAGAGAATCAGGGGAAAAGAGATGTAACAGAATAGAGAGAGAAAGAAGAGAGAGAAGGAGAGGTTCAATGTAATTGATTTCTTAATGAGAATATTACATTGTTTTAGTTATATAGCCAGCTAATCAAGCTAATAACAGAATTGCAAAAAGAATCTTATTTCCCAACAACCAAGAAAAAGACAAAACCAGCTAAACTCTAGTAACCGATTTTCCCGCCAAAACCTTAACAAAATACTAATTGAGCTGTAACAATACGGTCAAGAACGTACTCTGATTTTATTTATTATTTATTTAATTTTTTTTTTGGGGGGTCCTATTTCATCTCTTCTAGTAATTTGAGTTGTTTAAGGTTTAAGGAAAATTTGTCAATTAATACCCTAAAAAAGGCCACTTGTCAGTTGTTACCTCTAAAAAAATAAGTTGCTAATTACTACTCCTAAAACTGATAATTTATTTCGATTACTGCCTTATTGTATTTTTCGGTGACTTTAGGGCTTTATGATGTCATTTGTCATTTAAAACCCAATTTAAGCCATTTTAAATTTTATTTATTTAATTAAAAGATGAAAAAAAAAATTATCTTATTCGTAATCAGTAATCTAACTGCATCTTTCTCCTATTCAATTTTGATCTTCTTTTCCCATTCTCTCTCTTTTATTCATCTTCTTCTCCTTTATGATTTTTCCCCCATTTATAAACCCTAAGTGTTAAGTTATTTTTCCCCAATTATTAAAACCTTAAATTTTAATCAATCCATCTATTGTATTGCTGCAAAGCAAGACTTAGGCATTCATTTCTTCGATGGTTGAATTTTGCTCCAACAATTTAGGTTCATAATAATTGAAATTTGCTAAAGGAAAAAAAAAAAAAATAACAATTGAATTTTTAGTCGATTCGTTGAGCAATTGAGGAGAGAGATTGAAATGGTAAGTTGATAGTGATTTTGGTATTTGTTTAAGTCAAAATTTTGGATTTTGGATGAGCAATTAAGGAGGGGAGAGATTAGGTAAACATTGGGATTTTTGGTTGAGCAATTATTTGATTTTTCCTTTTTTTTTTTTTTTTTTCTCTTTTATCATTTTTATTTCATTGTTTAACTAAATAAATAAGGATTAAAATGCCTTAAATTACATTTCCTTCAAAAAAAAAAAAAAAAAACCTTAAATTACAATTTCACTAACAAATGTTGTCATTATAGCCTTAAGTACTTCCCGTAAAAAAAAAAAAAAAAAAAAAAGCCTCAAGTAGTCAGCAAATTACATTTAGTAGTAATCATTCAAATTTATCAGTAATAGGGGTAGTAATTGACAAATGGTACTTTTTTTAGGTAGTATTGACAAATTTTTCAATGTTTATATTATTTTTTGAGAATCTTTGCCCTTTTTGAAGTTAAAATCCCCCTCTTTCTTATATATAAATGAAGTTAAAACCCTTCTAAAACCCCTCTCTTTCTTATACAAAACCACACTATTTTTTTATCCACCTTCCTAGACCCGTTAACAAATGACTAATGAGACTAGTATAACCATTATGATTTAGACTGAAGATACCAAACATTTAGTGCGCTGCTAGAACTATAGTCCGTGTCTTTATGATCTCTCCTTGACCATTGTTTAAAAAAAAATTCGCGGTTTATTCAGAGTTATTTTATTATTTTTTTAATTTTTAATTTTTATTTTGTTCTATGCATGTTGCATTTCGTAAAGAAATATAGCAGTCAAATAACCATTGTATAGTTAATTTTGTAACATGGATGTGTTATAAATTTTATTTGTCAGGAATGGGTCAAATCTGGTTTGGCTCTTGTTTTTTTTTAGTTTTAAATTTAATTTTTTGTTTCTTTGCTATCCTTCATGGCTGTCACATATAACATGCTTCTCTTTTTACTCTCAGAACTCTCAGGCATCCCACCTGATATGGTAAACCGCCTCATCCCGGAGCATGCTCGAAGGCAGAACCTATTCATGGCATTGAACTCATAAGTAACCGGTGGGCGGTGGGCATGTCTATGCCAACCTATCCACTGAGGGTTTGCTCAAATTGTGTAGGCATTTGACTAATATTCTTGTGTCGAATATTAGCATTAGCTTGTGAGCCTACAGAAATTTGTTTGTTAGGCAGTTAAGCTGCAAGGGCCTGCAGGACATGAAGCGGTTGAAAGGGCTGGAGGAGGTTTCTTGCTATTATTTATCAAAATATGATCATGTCATTCATGTATGTTTACACAATCGTCTTGAGATATTGGCATAGTATAGTAGCTCAATACAAATCACGAGAATGTATCCAATATTTTGTTTGACTAGAAGAGCTTTGGGCATCTTTTTGTCCCGCGGTGTGTATCTTGTTAGATTGTAGTATGGTTTTCTGGTATAGCGGATGATGTCAAGTTTAAAGGGGTGTATTTTAATGTGAATATTTTGTGCACGGATTCTATATCTAATAATTCCTCTGTTTTCTTTTGATGCACCTATTAGAATGACTGAATGAGTGGTGTAAGAAAAAATTGTCCTAAAATAAAATAGATGGGTTTTAAAATGTAGGTGGATTCGTGGATAAAACTAAGATGATAAAACATACTCTATCATAAAAGGATGTTTTTATGATGATCAAAGTATTTTTGATCACCATAAGGCAAAAGTGGGCCCAATAAGGTGTCATCCTCATGGCCAAACAAAAAAAAAAAAAACCCCTTCTTTATTTTGTTTTTACCAAAATTCAATTATATAATTTTACAAAATGTTAAAAATCTATTTATTAGCAATTAAGATTGTTAATGCTAATTACTCTCTCTCTTAGGGTTTACTTAACCTCTTTCTCTCTCTTTTTTCCCGGTCATCGCCGGTGATGATTCGAAAACAACAAATCCCCAGTGAACATCACCATAGTCATTATAAACGACTGGAATGGAGCTCGTATTCATGGAGACTAGTATTTTCTCTATCTTAGTGTTAGATTTACTGATAATTTTACCCCTCTCTCTCTCTTTTGTACCACCAAGATTCGTTTTTCGGAAACCGCTTTTAATCATCGTAAATTGCTTTCTGGAAACGGATAGCCCGTGTATGGAGTTCATCGTATTCCTTGTGTTTTGGGTGTGTGATAAATTTCAACAAATAGACTTTTACATCTAAAAAATTGCACGATTTGTGACAAAGGAAAATTTAGGTCGTTTAATTCTAAAACCCCTTTAATCAAACACAAATTTATAATACCTAAACCTAACACTAAATACGAGTCTAGTGGCAAGTCAAGAGTCGATCCACAGAGACGATCAAGCACCACAATTTGCTATTATTAATTAAGCTAGTTCGAATGGGAAAAACGATTAAACTAACACTACAAAGCAATGAAAGCACGAGGGAAAGTCTAATAAGCAAACACTAAGGGGTATGGGTAGACATAGAATCCACTTGAACATGCATAAAGATAGAATCGATTTGATCATGAACTAAATACACTCGAATGCCGATTTAAGGTCCAATCTAATCACCTATCGGGATCAAAAGGTTTCTCCTACATAGAAATTTAAGGTCCAATCCAATCACCTATCGGAATCAAAAGGTTTCTCCTAACATAGAAATATGCTATCGCACTGGAATCATATACTAGGAGGTGAAATCAAGCATAAATCAACAAGATTGAGCTTAGCAAGGTCCGCTATCGCATCATCAAGCATCCACTCAACTCCAATTCACAAACAACGTGCACTTTGCAAGCAAATTGAATAACATCAAGCATATAAAGACTTTAATCAAAATCAAATCAAATTCTATAGCTAAAACATGATCAAGCTTCATCTACATCATCCCCACACCCTTAGCAAAGAAAACTACTCACTAATCATTGCAATGAACAAGATAATTATCAAATCACCAAGTGCAAGCATGATTAATAAGCAAATAAGAAGATTAAAGCAAAACAAATCAAATCAAATGCCAAAGTAAAGAGAAAAGAGTAAGAGAATGCTCATTGATTGAAGATGAATGTCTACAAGCAAGATGATCAATCTTCCTCTTCAAAATCCAAGCTTAATAATGGTGAAAAACCTACCTTTCTCTCTCTATAAAACTAAGCTAAAGATGAAGAATATCTGAAAAATAAGCTAATTATATTTTCTAAGTGTTTTCCTAAATGGAATTACAAGAGTATTTATAGAGAAAGAACAAAATGTAGTCGTGCGCGCCCTCTCCATAAAATTGCGCGCCCGCGGAAAATGGGCACAAAATGGGTTAACAACTATTGCGCCCTGTCTGAGAATCGCCGCGCTCGCGCACAGGATTGTCACACCCGCGGCTTGATCGCAATGAGGGCACTCCAATCTCCCTGCTTTGAAGTGGATCAGGGGTGCGCGCCCTCTCCAAAGTAACGTGCCCTAACTGGGAACTGCGCGCCAGTGGCTAGGTTGCGGTGCAGGCGCTCCTAGTTCCTGCCTCAAAGTTGGCCAAAATGCTCCTCAGGTAGGAGCGCCCGCGATGGTCCCAGGCTGGGCGCTGTCTCCGGTGGCACGTCAGAATCCCTTTGCTTCATCTACTTAGCTCTCTTAATTCCTTTCCAACTCACACTCCTTGAATACCTGCAAAAGATGCACCAAGAAGGGAAGATAGAGGGAGAAACACCACACGAAGGAAGGCAAAAGAAAACTCTACGAAAAAGGGCATTTATTCAAGCAAAAGGAGTAACGAGACTAAGGAGTAAAATCTAACTAAAACATGCCAAAAAGAACTAAAAAGAGATTACAACTAGAAGAAAGCCTACCCTAGGAGTGTCATAAAATGACACTCATCAAATTCCCCCAATCTAAGATTTTGCTGTCCTTGAGCAAAGCCAACGCAAAAAAAGAACAAGAGGGAAGATAGCAAAGATAAAAAGAAGAAGGGAGAAAGAATATACACTAAACTCATTGTCGTAGGAATCATGGTTATTTTTAGCTACAACAAGCCCTTAAAATCCCAAAGTTTCCTATGAGGACGAGTGAGGTCTCGTAAGGGTTTTCAAAAGAGTTTAACCCATAACTCTAGCAACCAAAGTCAAGGAAAAGCAATTAAAACAAGAGAACAAAACACAAAAGAGCTCTTGAGTTGGACACGGTAGAGGAAACAAATGCCAATGAATGAGAGACTTCTTAAACAACACATGTATGCGCGCTATAAGATGTTAATGGTTGATTGAAACATAAAACATGCTAAGCATAGAGAACTCTAGGAGACTCAATCCACCCTCGTCCTAACCTTTCTAACCGCGTTCTCTCCACTAGCTTCAAATTAACCCCCAATTTAGCTTCTCATGATTACTCGAAGGAACCAAAAAAATATAAAGAATTGAAAAACGTGAGAAGGTTATCCCAACATCTTAGCTATGTACATCCCTCACTAAAGGCTTGAAAACTATCTCCATCCACTAGTTTTATTCTCAATCCTCTAGGGTCTAAAGGACTTTATTGGGATGTAACGTCATGGCTTAGGGTAAAGGTGAGGTAAAAATTTGAAAAATTTGGTGTTATTTCTTAGGTGAAGCAAAAGAGTGGCCCTCTCTCAAAAACAAACTTAGAAGTCACCAAAACATCAATAAAAAATATCGTCTCCCCCAAGCTTATTCAACAAATACACAAAAGTCAAATACAGAGGCGTATGAACGCTCCCCCAAGCTTAAAAAAAGCATTGCCTCAATGCTTAAACTAGGAAAGAGAACACAACTAAAATATTTTTTTTGTTTTTCTTTTTTCCTCTTTTTGCTTTTTTTTTTTCTTTTTTTTTTCGTATTCACTTTCTTCTTTTTTCTTTTCTTTTCGCTCTCTCTCTCTCTCTCTCTCTCTATTTTTTTTTTCTTGAGGCACTTGCTTAACCACTATATACATTTGTCTCAAACATGCCAAACACTTTGAACTTAATCCAACATATAATCACTTGATCATCAAAACAAGCATCCAACCGAAATTTGCTTCACAAAACTAAGGGTGGAGGTCGTAAGGCTTGTAGTGTGGCTAGTCACTAAAAAGACGGAAATAAGCACAATGGGGTAACAAGAGGGTAAATGCAAATGAAAATAAGAGAGTAACAAAATAAAAGGAACATAAAAGAAAATGAAAAAAATCCTTTTTCCTTCCCCAAAGTGGCTCGGTCACGATCTCAGGTAGATAGAGACAAACCAAAGATTAAGAAATGCATAGCCAAGGATCGATTGCGCCACACAACAAGAGTGACGAAGGCTTGAACAAAAATACCTCACACGAGACTTCTAACAATAACTAACTCAAAGGTATCAAATCCACCATGAAAAGCAACACCATCTTACCACTTGCAATGAACTAAGGCTTCATGGACCCTAAAGTTCTTAAACCGGCTACCTTAGCATGCAATATCCTGGAGTCAACCAATGACACTCTCAAACTGTGCACACATTTACCACTTAAGAAGAAAGTCATTCAAAAACACAAGTCCAAAGTGAATTGTCAAACCAAAGAAGTAAAACAAAATTTGCAAAATTTTCCTTGAATAAGGGTGCCAAAAGAAAAATAAAACTAACCAAGAGTGAAAAGTTTGGAGGAAGTAAGCATAAACAATTAAGTCCCAATAGTCATACAATGATCGTTCAACCACAAAGTCAACGATCCCAAACACACTAGGTGTTATAAGAAAACAACCTCGAACCTTTCAACTTCTTCAATACTAAAAACTAACCTAAAGAATCCAAATAAAGATAAAGAAAAGAGAGGATCTCACCAAAGGAGTGTAAAGCAAGGAAAGCGGAAAAGAAACTTAACGACGTAGGATAATGAATCCCGCTCCAATCCTTCAAGTGAGCATCCTACAAAACAAAGACAAGAAAACCAAGAAAAAGAGAAACAAGTTATATACAAGACAATTAGAGAGAAAGAATAAGAGGAAAGATTCCAAAATCTAGCAAGCTACATGTAAAAACAACCAAAACCCATATCATAAATAATCATCATCAAAAATAAACAATCACTCATCATCACACAATAGAGCAACAACACAATAAGCACCCATATGGAATCCCACCATTAGCTATGATGGACTCCCCCAAAAAGGCCATCAGAGGAGGACTAGTGGCCACTAGGGACGGACTCATCAACGTCCTCATCATATGAAAATCTGGATGAGGAACCGTGAGGGTCCCACCTAGCGGTGTAACCGAAGGCCATCCATAGTGGCCTAGAATAAGATCCTCTTGCCAAGAGGCTACATGATCAAATTGGGGAGGCATAGCCAATGGTGCGGGGTAACTAGGATCAACGTGGGGATAGTTGGGATCCCCCCTATAGTCACTACCACCGGGCACATGGTAGTCGTAATGTCCGGAGTCATCGGGAAAAAGAGTGTGTCTCCCTATTGGGTCCGGGATAACCCAACCAATAGGGGCATGTGGGCCGATTGTCACCCCCCAAGACGGTACCGGACCGTGTTGTGGCGACCAATATGGGTAATTGACCGCGGAGGTAATTTCTC